TGACACGATGATATAAGCGAGGAACATAAATGTTGCAAATGAGAAGTGATAATACGTTCAAATGCTTTAGGAATTGCCGACAATTTGGAAATACCTCTATAATTCTTGGCATCAGCCCTCGCACCCTTTTTATGAAGTGGAATAATAAAATAGTCCTTCCAGATAGTAGGAAAAACTGATGATGAAATAGACAAATTAAAAAGTTTAAGAATCGGTTTACAAATGGTTGACGCACAAAACTTGAGCACACATCCAGGAAGTCCATCTGGACCGGGAGAATAAGTCGGCGTTGTTGTTTCTAAATCTATAAGAGAGAGTTTTCAGTAATTAAAGGGCAAAAAATACAATTTGCCCTATTTAAGGGATTAGGGTAGTTAGAATTTGACCAAGCTGTCGAACTATAAGTGGTTTGGAAAAACTCAGCAAATAAATCAGCAATGTCAGAATCCGTCGATGCCTCCATTGAGTTTAGACGTACCGATGAAGGCAATGCCGATGACTTACGCTTGGCATTAACAAAGTTGAAAAACTGTTTCGGATCATTTGAAAATTAAAATTTACATCGATTTAGATACAAAGAATAGCAATGACTGTTGAGAACATTAAAATCCGATCGAGCTACTACATATTTCGAAAAATCTAATGGCTTACGCGATTTTTTATACTTTTTATAAGTATTTGATTTAAGGTTTTTAAGTCTTTGAAGCGCATTGGTAAACCAAGGAGGCCTGTTTAGGTTTAAAGGAAACCTATCAGGAACGCATTCATTAAAAAAAGTATTTAACGCTATATAGAATAGTTCAGTGGCACTTTCAATGTCTGTACAATTGTACAAGTCTGTCCAATTATAATGTGAAATCATATCGTTAAGTTTATTATAGTCACATTTACGAAAACATCTAATTTTAGTTGGCGACACTAAAGGAGAGAGGGTATCAGAGCAGGGGAGGCAAATTGTCAATTCCATTGTTGGATGATATCGGTCTTCAGGTACAACAAGAGCGTCAATTCTACATACCGTGACCTCGGACGGGTCTGAAACAAACACAAGATCTAATTGTCTATTTATAGAATTTTGTATAAAGCTTACTTGCTGTAACGATAATTCTAAAAGGCCATCAACAAAATCATGGGCGGATAAAGGTATTGCGACAAGTGAGTCAGTGGGAGGAGACCAAGAAATATCCGGTAGATTTAAGTCACCCAAAACAATCAAAAGGTATCTGTTAGAAAGAAGGGATAGTACGTATTTTATGCTGCTCATAAATTACTAGATCAGAGCCAGGTGGAATATAGGAACATGTAACAACAATAGATAAAGGTTGCAAGGAAACTTTCACACTTACAAATTCAATTTCGTTTGGGATATGAGTGAGAATTCTTTCGGATGTTAGGCTAGAGGTAACAGCAATCAGTACACCGCCCCCCCTACGTGAGGGGCGATCGGTCCTATAAGTATTAAAGTTATTTGACAGAACTTCATATCCTCGGATGGGAATTTTTCACTTATAAATTCCAAAACATCCTCAGATGTGGTAATAATTGCTTCCTTTGTGGAACAACTGAAAGTATCTTACACCTCCCAGCAGCAGTCTGAACCACACTGGGCTGAGAACCAGGAACGGTGCCTACTGTACCTGTAGGTACGGTCGGCAACGAATTCTTTGACTTAGCCAGTACTGTAGATTTTATTCTGGAAACAGAGGTTCCACCCGAACTAGCTGTATCCATAGGCACAGTTGGTTCATTTACCCCTGTGTCAACAGAAACTGCTGCTACCAAGTTCGGATTTGGGGTGGATCCCACAATCATATTAACGGCGGTTAAACTGGCTTTTTTACCTTTAGGCGACTCGGTTAATAATTTTTTATTATTAAACTGGGCACAGACGGAATTGAACCCCTCATTGAGTTGTTTAAAAGCTCCTGAGATATTCAATAGGCTGTCTCGAGTCTGCCTCATAAAGCCGCTCATCTCAACAACCATTTCCTTGCAGGACCCACATGACCACATGAGACCAGAATTAAGATCAATGAAATCTTTGACTCTGCCAGTAAATCCTGCACATTTAACGTGCATCATCGAATCGCAGAGCCAGCAAAAAAAAAAAGGGTCTTTATTTGATGACGCAAGAGTACAATTTTTCTTAGAACAGACAAGAGCCATTGTAAGTTTAAAGCAAAATAAAAAAATAAGAATATGAAAAATACCTCAAAGTAAATTTGGCACTGGGATCAAATCCAAAAACCACAAGGGGACAAAACACGAAAAAAGTAAGAGCGCGAGATCACGAATTAAATCGAGTAAAGAGAGCACGAGAGAATAAATCTTATATCGACTGAGCGTGGCTTGTGCAACACAACAACTTTAATCAATAAACAAATGCAATGTAAAGCATGCAAGAGAGAGAGAGAGAAAGTTAGAGAAATAAACGAAAAAGTTTACCAGAAGTTAATAGAGAGTAAATTACAGTTATAAAATAGAGCGAGAGAGATTGAGAGGGAGTAAAAGAGTTCTAGCAAGTATAGAGAGCGTAAATTACACTAACAAAGCTACGAGATTAAACAAATCTAATAGAAATGTTAAAACAATTCTAAACACATACCCGTTTACTGGGAGATCTATTTAAAATTTCTAACACAGATATTAAGTTAAGCTTTGTAAATAAATTAACACAAAACACTCGCACAAAATCACTGAAAAAATACAAAAACTCAGAGCACAAAGGTAAACACAACTGTTCACAAGCGACGCTAAATCGTTGTTGTTATGTTATTTTATTTGTTTTTATGTTGATTATAGTTTCCCTGAAGACGGTTGCCGAAGTGCAACCAAAATATATTAGAAAAAAAAAAAAAAAATTTTAAAACTTTTATTTAAAAATTTTTTTAATTGTTGACCTCCAGCCGGAAAAACTCAAAAAATAATTTATAAATATATAATTTATAATTTCAGTCAAAAGTTGAAACGGTTGGGAAGTGGGAAGGGCACATTTCCGACCCTATAAAACATATATATTCTTGATCAGCATCACCAGACGAGTCGATCTAGCCAAATCGGTCTGTCTGTCCGTCCTTTCGTTTCTACGCAAACTAAGTCCCTCCGCTTTTTTGATGACACTTCGTCTCTTCCCACTATATCACATAGTTCCCATAAAAACAATCGGGAAAAAGCGGAAACAAAATTATAACTTCGTTGTTTCTTAACCAATATCCAAATACTCCGAAATATATTATTATTTTGAAAATTCAGAATTAAAGTTTTAGTTTAACAACCGGTAAACAAGAAAATAGAAATAAAACTTCTTTGTCTCTGAATATAATAATTTTAAACGTTTTTAGAATTACTGTTTACTTTAATAAAAATTGCACGAGTAAATCAAATAGGTATATAAACTATTTCTTGCCGAAGTTACTTCCTTTCTTTTTTATTTTACTTCGGATTTAGTTCAAGAAAACAATTGACATTCAGTTAGAGACATAATTTTGTGTATATTTGTTTTATTGTTAATGGGGTATTTTACTATATCCTGTTGTTAATTTTAATACAATTTCCTGTTTCTCAATTAAGAGGAACGTAGTTGCTACACGCTATTTTCACTGATTTTTGATCTGGACAAATTTGAAAACTTTAGTGTGTATTTAAGGAAAGCATAATTTTTGTTATGTGTTATAATTTCACAATACAAGTATTACTATACTTTTGTTCAATCCTCATGAGAATTGTACATGTTTTTAATTCATTTTCGTGACTAATTTATTTATATATCGAGAAAATTAGACTTTTCAATTTTGGCAAAACCTGTAATAAAATAAAATTCATATATAATCCCTGGACCAGGCCGTATAGTTTATTGTTTTCTTGCACAACCCTTTTTAAAACTTTGCTATGTCATTTTATCATTTTGGGTGCACGGGGATGCATGGCTGCCTTATGACGCACTGCTTAATAACATATATTGCATAAAAAAGTCCGACTAGATAGAAATCAGTTTAATGTGATAAAACTGGGAAGCTGTCACATAATATATATTTTTATTTTAATGTAATTAATTAATTAATGCCAAAACACTATATTAAATAAAAAGAATATCATAACAAATGCCCCCCCTAATCAAATCGAAATAATTGTTTAAAAATTTCATTTATTTTTAATTATATGTTAACAACTTTTGTTATTTTATAAAGCTTTTCCTAAAACTATGACAGTATAATGAAATGTTTTTAATATTAAAGGATATAAGCAATACCAAAGAGAAACAAAAACAAGGAGGAACTTATTATACCCGTTACTCGTAGAGTAAAAGGGTATATTGTATTCGTGCAAAAGTATGTAACAGCTAGAAGGAAGCGTTTCCGACCCTATAAAGTATATATATTCTTGATCAGGGTCACTAGCCGAGTCGATATAGCCATGTCCGTCTGTCCGTCTGTCCGTCTGTCCGTCTGTCCGTCTGTCTGTCCGTCTGTCTGTCTGTCCGTATGAACGCTGAGATCTCGGAAACTATAAAAGCTAGAAGATTGGCATTTTGCATGCAGATTCTAGGAGTTCCTACGCAGCGCAAGTTTGTTTCAAAAAGGTGCCACGCCCCCTTTAACGCCCACAATAGCTTATATACGATTTTAAAAATTTAAATATTTCGGAAAAGTAAAAATGCAGTTTTATTGTGTTTACCAATACCTATCGAAATGTAGAAGAAATTTTTCAAATCGTACCATTCGTTAAAAAGTTATGCGTGATCAAAGTTTCTATCTCCATCTCCCTCGCACTCCCTTTACCTGAGTAACGGGTATCTGATAGTCGGGGCACCCGACTATAGCGTTCTCTCTTGTTTTTTTTATAAAATTACCAAAAATATAAAAAAATAAATAAATAATTTAACACAATTAACCAAAGCAAACAACTATAACAAAAACTTAACTTATCATAACTGATATCATTTTCGGATATCAGTATATATATAAGTAGATAATGTAATATATGTTTTTTCTTTATTTCAGGGAGCGGGCTATTTAAGCTTTAACAACATAGATCAAGACCACATGCCTGACATTTTAAATGAAGCAGTTACCTTATTTTGGAAAGCACTAGAGTGTGAGACGCAGGAAAAAGTAATTTGTTGCACCTTGGAAATGTTTGCCTTGTGGACTCAAAAATTTAGAAATGAGTTACCAAGTGTGATTCTCAATATTTTTAAAACTGGAATTCGACTGAAAAGCACTAATCAAATAATTCGACAAAGCTATCTTGAATGGCTTCTTTTATCAATTCAAAATACTGAGATTAATAACCATAGTGCAATTATACCTGATCTTATTTCTTTTTATACTAAAGCATTGCAAAACTCTTCGCAATTATGTAATTTTTCTGAAGCCGCATGTATTGCCTGTATAATGCTTACTTTAGAAAAGCCATCGGAAAACTATAACTTCTTTTGGACCACAGTTTTTGATATGAAAAAAAAATATTTCTTTAATGAAAAGTTTACGGCAATCGCTCCGACCGAGACATTATGTAATATATCTTTAATGATAAAAATATTGGTCAATTCATATCCTGACAAAATTAGAGGAGAGTTGGAACCCTTAGTTCGAACGTTAGTTTTTAACTTATGTAGCAGTTCAGTAAAAGTTCGAAAATATACTACTGGGGAGGTCAATAAAATTATTAGTGCTTCGAAGGGAATAGAATTCGTAAAATTAGCTTTATGTGAATTTGGAAAGCGTATTAATTTAGTTAACATTCAAAATGATGGAGATACTTGTAATGACCAATTTGGAACTTCGACTCAGGCGTATGTAGACGCATTAAAAGCATTGACCAGCTTAAAAAATATTTCATATGACCAATCTCTGGATGTTGCTATGGAATTATTACTTATATCACATCATCCTGCAATTGTATTGAATGAGGCATATTTATGGGAAAGAACTATACAGCAAAATTTTAACTTGGATCCGAAAGATTTTATATTAGCTAAAAAAAATGAGATAGTTTATGAATTCATCGACCATTTTAAAGCTAATGCACAATACGAGAATACCATATCAGCACTGGTTCGAATATGTCCCAATTCTATTGTCCCATTAGTTGTTATGCATTTCAAAAACTATCTTTCTAACTCTTCGAATTATCATGCTTCCAATGATGAATATTTGACATTTTTGACTCCAGAAGGAGAATTGTATGATAAAAGTGTTATACCTCACATAGACTCACAATACGAAACAGTTCGTGTTAAAAGAGAAAATAAAGTTTATAGCTACAAGGAACAGTTAGAAGAGATTCAACTTCGTCGTGAAATCGATGAAAAAAGAGAAAAAGAAGGAAAATTGAAAACTATAAAGTATACACAAAAACAGGAAGAACAGATTAAAAATCAAATGGAAAAAGAACTACGAATAAAGTTACGGATTCATCAGCTTTATGAAAAACTAATTAGTAAAATAAGCTTACTGAAAGCATCATGTTCTGGAAACGGTGATGAAATGGCACAATATTTTTACACTTTATTAGACGATGTTTTGAATGCTTCAAAAAGCCCACTAAGTGCAGAGGTTCTTACAAATCTTTACCTATTTTTTCATAATCTGTGCTTCACTTTCCAACCAAAACTTGGTCGCGCCACTGCAGTAGCTACAATAAAACTTCAAAACCCATCATGCATTTTAAAAGAAGAATATGACATTAATATAAAGAAAGCTATTGAAGATATCATATTGGATCTTGACAATATTGTTAAATCAAACTTCCTTGATTCGCCTTCATTTTCTTTTGCGTTTGAATTTCTTAAACGATCATTAATTTTGTTGGTTAAAGATTCGAATGATGAACTCATTTCGAAGGGCATACATATTATAGCTAAGCATACAAATGCTCCGATTAATTGTAAGCCAAAATATATGCCAAGAGCTGGTATGCTTGAAATTTTGTTATATCTTTATAAAAACAACAAAAAACTTGCAGAACAAACTTCTGCAGCCATTTTAGAAGTTGCAAAATCTTCAAATGGTGGTATTTTCTGTGCTAATCCAGATAACCAGATTATAAATCTACTTCTACAAGCATTGCAATATAATACTGACTCTGTCAGAAAAGTTGCGTTACAATCATTGCAAATAATGATAGACGCGATTGTAGATCATATTAAACACGATAATTATCTTGAAAAAATTATTATAAACCGAATTTGGATAGCAAAATATGATACAGAAGAAGAAAATAGAGAACTGGCCACCTTAATTTGGAATCAGGCTAACTTGCCTTTACCAGGATTTGGCGATATTATTGGGGATATCACACACCCCGAACTATGTGTTCAAAAATCTGCTTCAGAATCACTATTGCCACTAATAGCTGATAATGAAACGTCAAGGAAATGCGTAATACGGAAATTATTTTCTATTTACAATGATAAATTGTCGCTAATACCTCCAGTAGTAGATCAATTCGACCGTGAAATAGAGCCCGCTACCGACCAATGGAAACCGCGAAGAGGTGTTGCTATTTCATTCTCTACTATCGCTCCCTTATTATCTATTGAAGATATTAATATTATAATGCATTTTATGGTATCTCAAGGTCTTGGTGACCGAGAAGATATCGTACACAAAGAAATGTTAGCAGCTGCATTAAAGATAGTTGATTTACATGGTAATCAAACAATTGTAAATTTGTTACCTGTGTTTGAAGAGTTTCTTGATAAGGCACCAAAATCGCAAAGTTATGACAACATTCGTCAAGCTGTTGTCATTCTTATGGGCTCTTTAGCACGACATTTGGAAAAGGGTGACAAGAGAATCGATCCAATTGTTAAAAGATTATTAACAGCACTATCAACTCCATCCCAACAAGTTCAAGAAGCGGTGTCGAACTGTTTACCTCATCTTATGCCATCTGTTAAAGATGAGGCCCCAGCAATGATCAAAAAATTATTACATTCGCTAGCAAAATCTGATAAATATGGCGAGAGACGTGGAGCTGCATATGGTATTGCTGGCATAGTTAAAGGTCTTGGTATTTTATCTTTAAAACAATTGGACATAATGTCAAAACTAACAGCTTTTATTCAAGAAAAAAAAAATTATAGATCCAGAGAGGGAGCTTTGTTTGCTTTTGAAGTTTTATGTACAACACTTGGTCGTTTATTTGAACCTTATATAGTTCATGTCTTACCACATTTGTTGCAATGCTTTGGTGATCCTTCCCAGTATGTAAGACAGGCAGCCGATGACACTGCAAAAGTAGTTATGGGAAAACTGTCCGCACATGGAGTTAAACTAGTACTTCCTTCTCTTTTAGAAGCTCTCGATGAAGATTCATGGAGAACAAAAACTGCATCAGTTGAATTATTAGGTGCAATGGCGTTCTGTGCACCAAAACAATTATCATCTTGTCTTCCTAGTATAGTACCAAAACTCATTGAAGTCTTGGGAGATTCTCACACTAAAGTACAAGAATCTGGTGCGGAAGCTCTTAAAGTAATAGGGTCCGTTATTAAAAATCCTGAAATTCAAGCTATTGTTCCCGTTCTTTTGGATGCATTGGAGGATCCTTCTAACAATACGTCAACTTGTCTGCAAAGCTTACTAAAAACTAAATTTGTTCATTTTATTGATGCTCCCTCATTAGCTTTAATTATGCCAGTGGTTCAACGTGCCTTTATGGACCGATCTACAGAAACGAGAAAAATGGCTGCTCAAATAATAGGAAATATGTATTCACTAACGGACCAAAAAGATTTAGCACCCTATTTACCAAGTATAATTCCTGGCCTAAAATCATCTTTGCTAGATCCAGTTCCTGAAGTACGAGCTGTGTCAGCTCGAGCCCTTGGCGCAATGGTAAAGGGTATGGGAGAAAGTTCATTTGAAAATTTGTTACCATGGCTAATGGAAACTTTAACTTCCGAATCTAGCAGTGTGGACCGCAGTGGAGCAGCACAAGGACTCTCCGAGGTAGTTGGAGGACTTGGTGTCGAAAAGATGCATAAACTTATGCCGGAGATAATTTTGACTGCTGAAAGAGTAGATATTGCTCCTCACGTAAAAGATGGATACATAATGATGTTTATATATATGCCGGGAGCATTTCCAGAAGAATTTACACCATATATCGGGCAAATTATTAATCCAATCTTAAAAGCCTTGGCAGATGAAAGCGAATATGTCCGTGATACAGCCCTAAAGGCAGGTCAGCGTATTGTCAATTTATATGCAGAAACAGCAGTAGCGCTTTTACTTCCCGAGCTTGAAAAGGGACTTTTTGATGATAATTGGCGCATAAGGTATAGTTCAGTTCAATTACTAGGAGATTTATTATATCGTATATCTGGAGTATCAGGAAAGATGACTACAGAAACAGCAAGTGAAGACGATAATTTTGGTACCGAACATTCACATACAGCAATTATTCGCTTTTTAGGCGATGAACGTAGAAATAGAGTATTATCTGGACTTTACATGGGACGAAGTGACGTTTCATTGATGGTGCGTCAAGCTGCATTACATGTTTGGAAAGTGGTTGTGACAAATACTCCGAGGACTCTGCGAGAAATTCTACCGACTCTTTTTGGTTTACTTCTAGGATGCTTAGCTAGCACAAGCTATGATAAAAGACAAGTGGCTGCTCGAACTTTAGGTGATTTGGTAAGAAAACTAGGAGAACGAGTTTTACCAGAAATCATTCCTATTCTTGAAAATGGATTAAACTCTGATCATCCTGATCAACGTCAAGGAGTCTGCATAGGCTTATCTGAAATAATGGGCTCTACATCAAAAGAAATGGTTCTAACTTTTGTACACAGTTTGGTTCCTACAGTCCGCAAGGCTTTGTGCGATCCCTTACCTGAAGTTCGAGAAGCAGCAGCAAAAACATTTGAATCTTTACATAGCACAGTAGGCTCTCGGGCGTTGGATGATATTCTGCCGTTTATGCTAGAGGGCCTCTCAGACCCGGACCCTTCTGTTGCTGAGAATACATTAGATGGACTTAGACAAGTTATGTCTATTAAATCAAGAGTAGTATTACCATATCTTGTGCCCCAGTTAACATCCCCACCAGTTAATACAAAAGCCTTATCAATTCTTGTATCTGTTGCTGGTGAAGCACTAACTAAATACTTGCCAAAAATATTATCTGCGTTATTAGAGGCTCTATCAGACGCCTATGGAACTCCGCATGAACTCCAAGAGATTGATTATTGTCAAACTGTTATATTATCAGTAACAGACGAAACTGGAATTAGAACAATAATGGATACACTGCTTATTTCAGGAAATTCTTCTAATTTATGTACTCGAAAATCCTCAGCAAGTTTGCTTTCTGCATTTTGCATACATTCACCAGGAAATTACTCGCAATACATTCCTCAACTTTTAAGATGCTTACTTAAATTGATGGTTGATAATGATAAAGATATATTACAGAAATCATGGGAGGCTCTCAGTGCTGTAATTAAAGGCCTCAACGCCGCACAGCAAATCTCCCACGTATCTGATGTTCGTCAAGCAGTTAGGTTTGCAGCAAGCGAACTTAAAGGACCGGAGCTTCCGGGATTTTGTTTGCCAAAAGGAATAACTCCTTTGTTACCCGTTTTTCGTGAAGCTATTTTAAATGGATTACCAGAGGAAAAGGAAAACGCAGCACAAGGACTTGGTGAAGTTATTTTCCTAACTAACGCACAATCATTACAGCCTTCTGTAGTACATATAACTGGTCCATTGATTCGAATTCTAGGAGACCGTTTTAATGCAGCGGTTAAAGCTGCTGTATTGGAAACTTTGTCAATTTTACTTCATAAAGTTGGCGTTTTATTAAAACAGTTCTTACCACAACTTCAAACCACATTTCTTAAAGCGTTGCATGATCAAAACAGAAACGTAAGGATGAAAGCCGGTAAAGCTCTTTCTGAATTAGTAGCAATTCACTCTAGAGCGGATCCATTATTTAATGAAATTCATAATGGTATAAAAAATTCAGATGATTCTTCTGTTAGAGAAACAATGCTCCATGCTCTTCGCAGTATTCTAAGTCGATCTGGAGATAAAATGTCTGATCCAATACAAAAACAAATTTATGTAACCCTTTTAAATATGCTGGGCCATCAAGAAGATATAACTCGAAACGCTGTTGGCGGATGCTTGGGAGCCATGTTAAAGTACATGGCGCCCGGACAAGTTGATGACTTATTTACTAATTTAATTTTGGCGGATAATACAGATGATTTAATAGTAAAGCATGGGCACACAATTGTGTTATTCGTTGCCTTAAAAGAATGTCCCAACGAAGTACTAACATCAAATTTGCATGATAAAATAACATCATTCGTGTTGGTCCATATTTTATCAGAAAAAGTGCCGATTGCCTGTAATGCAATAAGAGCTGCCACTTATCTTTTGGAGCACTATCTTGTCAAAAGTGATGAACTTCCTTTAAATGTTATAATTGCACTAGCTAGAGCTATGAATCATTCTAGCAATGATGTCAAACAGTTGGTCGCAAAAAGTTGTACCCACCTATCTAAAAGTTTAACAGCTGATCAAATTAATTTTGATGTCTTTAAATATTTGGTCCCCATGTTAGTCAATGGCACTAAGGAAAAAAATGGATACGTAAAATCAAATTCAGAGCTAGCGTTAATTTCCATTTTAAAGTTAAGATCTGACGAATCGACTTTTTCAAAAATTTTAGACCTTTTAGAATCTGGAGCTAGGGACTCATTAAACGACGTAGTAACAAAAGTTTTAAAACGTTCAGCATCCCAGTCCATTATAAAAGAAGAAGAATTAGATGATACATTGCAGACATAATCGCTACTTTATTTTAAAAACAAAATTTTTGCTTTATAAAACATGTTACTGTATTTTATTTTTTTGTAAATAAAGAATTTGATTAAACGATTCGATTTTTATTGTATGGATTCCCTGGGTAAGTGAGTATTCGTAGTAAAGTTAAATTTTCTTCAAAGAGGCAATGGCACGCCTCGCCGTTACTTTTTGTTTTCCTCGTTTTTGGTTTTTCCTTTATAGCTTTTGTCCTTTCAATACCGTGGCTCCTAATTACCGGAACAACATAACAATTATCTTTCCCGACCAGCTCAACAATTTTGTCAGCTACTGCATTTGAGGTCTTCTCGCTGATATAGGAGGCTATATAGTGGAGGTTTCTTTTGCACCTTTTGTCCATATAACTTTTATGTAGATCTTTCTTCAGCATCTCAGTTATTGGTAGATGTCCCAGGTAGGTTCATACATAACATATAATAACTTATACAATTTTTGTTTTTAATATTTTTTTTATATAATTAGGCATGTACCATAACCCACCCTAACTTCAAATTTTTAAAAATAACGCTTGGAAAAGTTATTATAAATAAGTACAGAACTTGGAAATTAACCTTTATTAACTTTTTATGCGGAAAATCAAGAAGTAGGGAGTAGAGAAGAAAAAGGTGTTCAAATAAGTAAATCAGAGTGCAAGTGAAACTATACAAAAGAACCAGAGAATTAAATGAATTTAAAGGCAAAACAAAATATCAACAAGTTACCGAAAAATTAAACTCCATCAGGTCCCGCCTGCATAACAACAGTCTTATGCGTATTCTATAATTGTATGTTTTAATTCAAGTTGGAATCGGGTAAAAAAATTAGAAGAAGGTAATCGGTTATTTAGGTTAGGCTATAAATAAAGTTTGGTGAAGGGAAGTGGCGCTCCCTTCTGCTCGTACACTTGGCTATCTAGCTATTTAAACCAGCGCTGTTCGCTATGGGTATGGATAAAATGGCCTTGGATCGTACAATGACCCAATATTGGGTGAGCTCAGGGAAGCACAAATTTATACGTATATTTTTATTTTTATTATATTTATTGTTGAACACGCCACACATGGATGTACCTTGTTTTCGTGTACTGTCAAATTATTTCTAAAGATCCCTAAAAAAGAGCGGGTGCTCCATTCTTGGGCAAATCAGGTGTGGTCATATCCGGTCATAAGTTATATACGTAAAAGTAAATGCAAAAGATATTTGGCACTTGGGTTCGGAAACACTCACCCTCCAGTTGCTTTTACCTAGCGTTGATAACTACATTTTTTACAACATTGCCTTAATTTGAGCTTACAAACACTAAGTTATAGAATTATATTACAATTATAGTATTCCCAAGAGACTGATGTTATTTTGCTTGCCTTTAAATTCATTTAATTCTCTGGTTCTTTTGTATAGTTGTGACATGCACTCTGATTGTTGCACTTAACACGTTTTCTTCTCTGCTCCCTATTTCTTGATTTTCCGCATAAAAGGTTAATAAAGGATAACTTCCGAGTTTTGTAGTTATATCGTGACTTTCCCAAACGTTATTTTTAAAAATTTGAAATTCGGGTGAGCTGTGGTTATTTACCCATAGTTGGACAAAAGGTGCAAAAAAATCAATTTCTCCACCAATAAATATCAGCGAGAAACGCTCAAATACTCTAGCAATTCATTACATTTTAATCAGTAAATCATCGCATTTTCATCAGTTAATAATTCTTTAAGGAATACTCATCAGTTGATGATATTGTATTTGTGGGCATAATTATTTAATTCATGATTACACGAAAATATTTAAAATGTGATATAAATACAACTCCTTATCTTTTATATAATTATAGTTCCAAATTACCAAAAATGTTATATTTTATTTTATTTATTATTGTTTTTATATTCAACAATAAATTTATTTCTTTATTTAAGAGGTCTGATTGTTAATCTAGTAATAATATGGTTAATGTCCTCAGTAGTTTATTCCATGCAATAAAATCGTTTTTAAATTCCTGCAATAAATAAAGTTAATGAGTCAATTCACATGATAAAATTGAAGGAATAAATTTCTGACGAGGTTGATATTGTTCTTGCACTCATAATAATAAAAAAATTTAACAAAGAAGCTCTGCAACTGTATGAGAGACATGTTAAAAAACTAAAGAAATTCAAGCATTGCCCGACGTCATTGAATTTCTAGAGCAACGACACAGTTCGATTAGCTCTGTTCAGGATGAAAAACCTTAAAAAAAGTGTTTAGTTACAATATTAAAGAATTGTCTATGTACTAACAGTTGTCCCATGTGCAAAAGTACGGGACATCTGATACTTCAGTGTCAAAAATTTAAGACTTTAAATCCATCTGAAAGGATGGAAACAGTAAAAAAGGCACATTTGTGTTTTAAATGCCTTAAACATTCATTCATTCATAATCATTCAAGAAATGTCAAAGTGACATTCCATGTTCAATTTGTAAGAAGAATCAGCACAGTATGATACACATTTCTGTAGTCAAATGAAAAAGTGAATACGTGTACGACGTCGGAACAAGCATTGCTAGCTACGGCACGCGTTCAAATTCAAACCTCTGAGGGAGGTTTCGAACATTGTAGAGCTTTGATCGACAGTGGTTCTTAAATCACAATAATTTCAGAAGAATCTGCGCAGATTCTGAAATGACCCAAAATTCGCTCTCAAACAGAGATCAGTGGAGTATGGTCTACGGGAAAGTGCATCTCGAAGCACAAGATAAATCTTTCAATTAAAAGAAATAATTCCCAAAAAACGATTCAAGTTGAAGCATTACTTCCAATTAATGAGGGCTCTCCCAGTCAACACAGTTAATGTTGACAAATCGAAGTGGGAGAAGTACAATTTGGCTGCCACAGACTCACATTCTGCAAAATGGAGTGGTCAAAATAAATGGCTTCTCTGGATGCAAAAAATCCAAAGGTAAGAAGACAGTTGTAGCAACCACCATCGAATTAAAAGATATGGATCGGTATTGGGAAGTTGAGGAAGAAGACAAAAATGATATCGAATCTGAAATATGTGAAAATCATTTCATAAAAACAACTAAAAAAGGTTCAGATGGTCGATGCATTGTGTCAATTCCATTTAAAGATGATGTCACCTTAGGACATTCAAAGAAACAGGCAATGGCGCGTTTCTTGAATCTTGAGAAAAAATTAAGCCGAAATGATAAACTAAGGTTAGACCATGCTAAATTCATGAATGAATATATGGATTTAGGACATATGGTCGATGTGCAAAAAGAAGGAAAGTACTTTCTACCTCACCAGGATGTAATTAGAGATTCAAGCCTGACGACCAAACTAAGAGTTGTGTTTGACGCTTCAGCAAAAGCAACTAATAATAGAAGTTTGAACGACATAATTTGGGTTGGTCCACGAGTTCAAAAAGATATATTTGACATTATTATTAAATGGAGAAAATTGGAATTTGTGCTATCTGCGGACGTTGAAAAAATGTATCGTCAGATAAATATTAATGATAAAACAGGCCAACAAAATTTTAGAAAATCCCGGACCCAAAAACTGGACCTACATTTTCTTATGCAGTTTTTTGCGCTGAATCCAAATCCGGTGCTGAAAGTGTGAAAGTGGACGTTTTTGGCATATTTCAACAAGCTATATATTCGATAATAAATGTTTTTTGAATATAAGCAACAATTTTACCTCAAAATGCACATCCTAACCATTAAAATTTTTTTTAGTTTTTTAAATACGATTATTTGTTCTGAGATATGAACCATTTAAAGAATGTCACTTTAATATTTTTATTGAACCCCTTAACGCCCAAACCAAAATATTAAAGTGACATTTCTTAAATGGCAGCGGATTTGGATTCAGCGCGAAAAATTGCATAAGAAAAGGGTGTCCAGTTTTTGGGTCTAAAAATTGTTGGCCTGTGTAATGATCAAGAGTACCAATATATTTTATGGAGAGATTCTCCAGATGTAAAAATTAAAAATTATAAATTAACAACAGTCACATATGGTACTGCGTCTGCACCATATTTAGCTACTAGAGTTATAGTAAATATTGCTGATAAATGCACCATATTTAGCTACTAGAGTTATAGTAGATATTGCTGATAAATGCAAAAACAAAAATTTAAGTGAGATAATTAGGAACGATTTCTTATATGAATGACCTAATGACTGGGGCAGATACTATAGAAGATGCCAATAATTTAAATAAATTAATTTCACAAGAGTTACAAAAAGTGGGAATGAATTTAAATGGATTTAAAACAGTTTAAAAATAATGGAAACTGTAGAAGATACAGTAGAAAACAAGGTTCTCACTCTTGTTGAAAATGAAAGCGTAAAAACCCTGGGTCTTCAATGGGAACCGCAAAAGGATTTATTTAAATTCAAAGTAAATTGCGGGGAATCGAAAAATATTAACAAAAGCATAGTGTTATCAACATTATCAAAAATATATGACCCTTTGGGATGGCTGGCTCCTGTATTAGGAAAACTTTTTATTCAATATCTATGGATAAATAAGAGTGAATGGGATCAAGAATTATCCAAGGAAGAAAAAGATTATTGGGTAAATTATAAAGAAAATTTATTAATTTAAGAGATTCGAATCCCAAGATGGATTAGTTCCAAAAATTGTTCAATAATTGTTCAGCTTCATTGCTGACGCTTCCGAAAAGGCATATGCTGCAGTAGTATATGCTAAAGTAGGAAATTGTGTAAACATAAAAGCCAGCAAAAGTAGAATTAATCCAATTAAAAATAGAAAAACTATTCCCAAGATAGAGTTATGGGGTATTATAATTTTGGTCAAAAGTGTGCAACGCAGTGAAGGAAACATCTCCGACCCTATAAAGAATATATATTCTTGATCAGGATCACCTCCTGAGTTTTTTTTTTTTTTTTTTTTTGGCGCGGAGTCCTACGGCTTACTTACCCGCCCAACCGACTGAGGGGCGCATCCGTGTATCGTACGGCACGATTCGCGATAAGATAGACGCGAGATAGGAAAATAAAGGTAAATTGCCGGGAAAAAAGTAATAGTTAGACCAATCTTGTGCCAATGAAGCAAGTATTAATCGTTTTA